AGCAGAGAGATTTGCGAAAATGATGAATCCAGTGCTCTTTCCTACTAAAATATTTTTTATTTGAAAATATAGTAATTTTTTATGAAAATGTTATCTATATTAATATATAAAGGGTTTATTGTATTTTTAAAATAATTTTAATAAATATTTTAAAATTTCTGTCTTAATTTCTTTTTTTCTTAACAGGGTCTCACTATGTCATCCAGGCTGGAATGCAGTGGCATCATCATAGCTCACAGCAACCTCAAACTGCCTGGGGCGTGCAGAGGAGATGGCCTGGTGGGCCCCTCGGCCCCACGGAGCGGGAGACCAGGGAGCACCACCCGCCCAGGGAAGTCTTGGGCAGGAGGGTCGAGGCAGAGGGGGCCGTTGGCGGCGCGAACCCGGGAAGCAAGCCGCAACGGGGCCCGCCGAAAAGGAGGATCAGCACCGAGCCACCAGCCCAGCTCCAGGATGCGAACGTAACAAAGAAGGGGCCTGGCCCCCCTAGGCTGATTCTGATAGAGCCCACAGCTCACTGTCCATTTGACCACAGGGCACAGGCATCTGACAGAATCATTAAGACCATTCCTTGAAGAGCGAGTGTTGGTATTGCTTTTAATATTTTATCACCTGGCAGCGTCTCGTGGAAAACACTCATTTGTAGCCTCTTCCTGTGCCCTGCCCAGCCTGCTATTAACAGTCCCCAAAGCCTTCTTAAAAAGTGTGCTTCTCCTCGTGATTTCCCAAAACTCCTTCTCAACAGACAGGGTTGATGTATAGCTGGGCGAACATCCTTTTCTCCTTGAGCTTTTACGGAGGATGTGAGGGAAAGGGCTCTTCTTACCAAATGAGGGAGAAAAGACTCTCGAAGCCATTATGTGTCTGACACCAATTCAATTACCCCATCCGTGCCCTTTTCAGCGAAGCGCTTCCTAAACTTCATTAGCGCTGCGGCGGCGCTCCAGCTGCCATCGTGCCCTTCACCGGAGCCAGTGCTGCGCGGGGAGGACAGAGCTCCACGCGGCAGGGACTGCAGCGTCCCTCACTCCCGAGCAAGGGCGGCCTCAGTCCTCCCCCCGGCTGAGTGGAGGGTCCAGGTGAGCGTCCGGGCCCCAATCCGAAGCTGCCCCAGCCTGGCTCCCATCACCCAGAGTGTCAAGTTATCTTTTAAGAAAAATGTAAGACATAGGGTTGCACCCTCTCCTTTGGCTCGTTTCTCGTAAGGAAAATAGCACTAGAGTCTGTCCCCCTGGCCCGGCAGAGCCAGCCTCCCTGCCGCCGATGCTGGTGCACGTGTCTGCTGGACCAAAGCTTACCGCAGGCGCAAGGGACGGTGCCTTGCTCGTGGGTGCAGCCGCTGACCGCTGCTGGGTGGTGAGTGATACCGGGGAGACTGAGTTCTTAAGAACTATGGTCCCAGAACCAAAGGAAAGATCTTCAAAGGCCTGGTCGGTATGGAGGATGGAACTGCTTGCCTTTGAAAAGACCCTTCCCCTCCCCGGCTCCCGTAAGTTGCTGGATTCTTACGCAGCCGAGGGGGAAGGGAGGAGACCTGCCTCCCGGAATATGACTGACATCGAGCCTCCTTGCTGCCGCGGCGGCCGGAGTGTGGAGTCCTCAATAAGTATCTGTATCATGAACGAATGACCCATCCTGAGGCCTTGCAAGATCTTCAATTACGAAATGAAAATTCAACTGTTCTTCCTAAGCTGTGTGTTTTCAAAGACAAGAAGTGGGCACTCACCATCTCCTCCTGCGTCCTTAGCTAGCGTGTACATGATGTAGTTATTTGTCCATAGTCTGTTTCCCCCAGATTTTGCCTTTCCCACCCCTGAATCCCCAGTGTCTAGAACAGTAACCTAGCATGTAGTAGGAGCTCAAGAGATATTTGTTAAGTAATGAGTGAATTTAACCTGCAAATATGACTGCCCAGGCCTGGGGTATCCTCTCGAAGTGAGATTTGATTGGTGTGACTTTCAGAAACAGAAATAGATGTTGGAGCTGGGAGGGGCCTTGGGATCATTGACTTCTGCCCCTTCACAGCACTGTTGGGGTGACAGAGCGAGGGCCCCTGACAACTGAGGCCTGGGAGTTCCCTCTGTGACGAGAGGAGACGCCCAGCCCCGAGGCTCTGTGGTGTCCGCTCCAGCATCACTGGGCCCACGGGCCAGAGGGAAATTCCACCGACGGTAAGAGCTACCTGAGGCAGTAAGTTTGGGAAACGCTGGGTTAAGCAGATCTCTTGGCTCCGTGATTTTCCAAGAGGGAGTGGCTGTAGATCACATTTCTTAAACTTTTCTTTAACCCTTTCTCTGGTGAACCTTTCTGTAGGATTTGTGTTTCCAGGGACACATTTTGGAAAACACTGCTTTAGTGCTTTCTTACTAGCTGGAGTGCCTTCCGAACAGGCACGTGGGCAACTGCAAGAGTCAGTTGCTCTGGTTACCTGAAGCTGCGTCCCCAAGCCCCAGGCCACAGACCAGTACTGATCCGTGGCCTGTTAGGAACTGGGCCACACAGCAGGGGATGAGTGTCAGGGGGCAAAGAAGCTTCATCTGTGTCTACAGCCGCTCCCCATCGCCGGCCTCGCTGCAGAAGCTCCGCCCCCTGTCAGACCAGCGGCATTCGATTCTCATAGGAGCGCCAGCCCTGCTGTAAACAGCGCATGCGCGGACCTAGGTTGGGCGCTCCTTATGAGAGCTCATGCCTGATGATCTGGGCTGGAGCTGAGGTGGTGATGCTAGCACTGGGGAGCGGCTGCACATACAGATTATCATTAGCAGAGAGGTCTGACCCCATAGTAAATGTAATGCACTTGAATCACCCCAAAACCATTCCCTGTCCCCACCCAGTCTGTGGGGAAAATTATCTTCCATGAAACTGGTCCCTGGTGCTAAAAAGGTTTGGGACTCCTGCCCTAAAGGACTTGGAGATGGGACTTTTCCTTTCCACAAAGCCAGGTGTCGCCAGCTCCTCCCATCTCTTAGAGGAGCACCGTCGCCCACTCTGCTGCAGTCTGCCACCTCCTGGGTCCCACTTACACTGAAACGGCTTCAGGTCTCCTCACTCAGGTCCCAGCACACTTGCCTCCCCAGGCCCAGCCTTTCCCCCAGTCCCCTGCAGTCCCCCCATCCTCCCACCTGCCTCCTGAGGCCCTACGTGGGGGGTTCCCACCTCCCAGGAGCCCAGCACTGCCTCCAGGAGAGAGGGACGTCCTGGAAGGGCCCCTCCTCCCTACCCTCCAGCAGCCCCTCTGGGGGAGCCATCTCAGCCGGGGATCATGAGGTATGCGGAGTGCTAGCAGGTGTCTGGCACCCAAGCTGTACTGCCAGTTCAGGGGTTGGGGATCTCCTTAGATGCACATCTTAAAGGAGACGAGCAGGTTGCGGAACAGTATGTACAAGATCCGACTTTGCAAAGTAACAACACACGCCGTGTAGCCGTGTCCATGCGCATCTGCACAGAGAATGAGAAAGCTGGAAGGTGAGGGTGCTGGTGGTTATCTCTGTGCTGTGGGATTTGGGTAATTGTTTTCTCTTGCTTTGCTGTATTTTTTATTTTATTTTTCCACACATTTTACCAAAGAGCTCATGTAAGTGCCATCAAACCTGCAGCTGTCGTTCCGTTCCTCACTAGCTGTGTGACCTCAAACAAAGTATTTGACTTCTCTGGGCTCATCTCAAAGGTATACTGCTTTGTTCCTTTTCTGATTCTACGGGAACCATCTCTTTTCCACGTCTAGATTGCAAGCAGCTAGAGAGCAAGCTAGCCGGCGCCTGCTGCCCTGCCTCCTCTCTCCCTGCGTGCCCACGAGGTGCCTTGCATGCTGCAGCATTGTTATTTTTTATTATTGCAGGTGCTAAATAAATCCTCAGTGACTGAGCCGGGAGCCAAACACATTTATTCCTGTCATCGGTCCAATTCTGTGCAGCTGGGACAGAGCCCAAGGCGCTTGGGGACGCCATAAATCTGCTCTTTAGGCCCCACCCATTTCTCTGCCAAGCAGATGTGGTAGCCGGGAGCCAAGGTTTGGGGAGCTCAGTGCTGGGCCGAGAGCAGGAAGGAGCTCCAGGCCCCGTGAGTTGGAAGTCTCAAGAAGGGCTGGCTGGCTTCTCCACGTCTCCCCTGCCCAGGAGGTCTGCGAGCAGGCTTTTAGCAGTGACTTCCCCAGAAGGAAGGGATAAAGCCCTGGCCAGGTACAGAGGCAGCGGGGTAAGGGCCATGCCTGGGCTCCATCCTGCCTTGGGTCCTTGGCCCTCTGCCACCGTGAGTCTGGACAAGGGGCTTCTCTGCTCTGAGCCCTCACTTCCCTCCTCCATGAGCAGGGACAGTAGCAGCTGTTTTGCATTGTTATGAGAATAAAATGAAATTATGCATGTATGTAATCCGTGCATAGCAAGTGCTAACAATTACCATCTCTTAAGGTTGTTGAGGGTCCAAGGCCATCCCTCATTGAGTAGCCCACAGGTAGCTCAAAGTGCAGAGCTGGCCGAAGGCCCGGGATCCTTCCCCAGTGCTACCCGAGCTGCTGTGAATGTAACTCACTGAAAGCAAACTCCAGTTCTGACACGGGCGGGGCCCGTCCTGCCAAGGTACAGTACAGCCTCGAGTGGATTTATTAACCAGAAGGAACTGGCAGTACAGCTTGGGAGCCAGACACCTGCTAGGCACTCCGTATACTTCATGATCCCTTTTGTATTAATAGAAGAGGACATCGTCGGAGCACAGAGAGGACCAGGCTGTATCCAAAGCCACACAGCATGATAAATGGTGAAATGGGGGTCCTCATATTGCCAAGTTACTGCACCAGAAGATTGTCTCTCCTCCAGAAACTGCTAAACCCTATTCTGTTTTGCAAATTCTGGAATTTTCCATTCCCTTTAACGCCACTTGTAATGAAGGCTTCCTAATGCATCTTGGGAAGGGACGTGCTAACTGGTGCTATCCACAAACTCTCTTCTTCCACATACTAGTCACAGTAAGCGCCACGCCTTTAAATAATGCTAAGAATTCTTTTCAGGATATTTGTGGCATGAAGAGAAAGCCCTTAGCGCTTTCTCGCAGCTGTGTTCCTCTAGGTTGGGAATTGTAATAGAGAGGCCCAGGGCTGGTGCTGACTGAAAGGAAAGTGTCTCAAATCCTCTGGGCCTGCGGTCCCCAACCCCTGAGCTGCGGACGGGTACCAGGTCCGTGGCCTGTTAGGAACCCAGCGGTACAGCAGGAGGTGAGCAGCAGGCAAGCAAGCAGCTTCGTCTGTGTTTACAGCCACCCCATCACTCATACCACTGCGTGAGCTCCGCCTCCTGTCAGATCAGCTTCGGCATTAGATTCTCATAGGAGCTCGAACCCTACTATAAACTGCACATGTAGGAAATCTAGGTTCATGTTCCCTATGAGAATTTAAAATGCCTGATGATCTGAGATGGAGCTGGGTGGTGATACTAGCACTGACAGGCAAGTGGCTGCAAATACAGATTATCATTAACAGAGAGGTTTGACTGTGCAGTAAATGCAATGCGCTTGAATCATCCTGAAAGCATCCTCCCACCCGCCCTTGTCCTTGGAAAACCTGTCTCCCATGAAACTGGTCCCTGGTGCCAAAAAGGTTGGGGACCGCTGCTCTGGGTGACTTAGACCTCTTGAATGCTCCCAAAACACTCACCTTCAGTGCAGGAGGGGAGAGGACGTGGAGTCTTCAGGTGCTGAATAAATGCTACCTGGAACGAGGCTACTCAGTGGAAGCTGTTGGAGAAATACAGCTGGGAGGATGGACGCTGAGTGATTCAGACACCCTGGAGTTCCACATTTGACCTTTGGCTTCCATGTGAGATTAAGGGACAAGACTCTTTTCTAAAGCCATTTTCTATTTTCATAATTAGCTCAAGGGCTATATGGTGGAAGTGGGGAACCCAAAGTCTACGGAGACTATTTCCTCTTATTTTGATGTATGCAAGTGGCTTGTAGCTTTTTATAATAAATATTTTGTAAACTCCCTTTTAATATCCCAAATGAAATTCATGGATTGCATAACCTATCTATACACACTGTTTTAAAAAATTGTGTAATACCCTAACCCTAACACAGGATTTCTCATCCTTAGCACTGTTGACATTTGAGATCACATTACTCTTTTGGCAAGGTACGGGGGGCGGAGGGGGGGGGCGAGTGTCCTGTGCATTGTAGGATACTTAGCAGCATCCCAGGCCTCTTCCCAGTGGATGCCAGAAGCACCCAGTAGTGGTAACCAAGTATCTCCAGATATTGCTAAATGTCCCAGGGAGGGGTGGGGAAAATGCCCCCAACTGAGAATCACTCCCCTAACATAAAGGATAAATAAAAAGAAGATAATGTTGTAATAAAATACCATATATTTAGAAACATTCCTATTGTTTAATGCCACTCTTATGCTCAAGCATGGCTGCACAGGGGGACACAATGAAGCCGCCAGATGCCGGCACCTACTACGAATGCATGGGTTTGGATAAGAAGATCAGAAGCTATTTGTACAAGGAGAACAGAAAAATGAAAGAGCAAAGGTATGAATGGACATTAGCATACAAACTAGTGTTAAGCTAAGTAATAATAGAGAACACTTATCTGTATATAAAAGAAATAATAAAGTAACTTTACCCTAATCCAAAAATTTGAAATCCAAAATGCTCCAAAACCAGAAACTTGGAGTGCCAACATGATGCCGCAAGTGGAAAATTCCATATCTGACATCATGTCACGGGTCACAGTCAAAATACAGTCAAAACTTTGTTTCATGCACAAAATCATTTAAAATATTGTATAAAATTACCTTCGGGCTATGTGTATAAGGTGTATGTAAAACAAATGAATTTCACGTTTAGACTTGAGTCCCATCCCATATCTCATTATGTGTATGCAAACAAAATCCAAAAAAATCTGAAATCTGAAACGCTTCTGGTCCCAATCACTTCAGATATGGACACTCAACCTGTAGTATACTGAGACAAGCTACAGACACAAAGTCATAAATGAGCTGGGCCTTATTTATAGCTACAGCATCAGGATGATTCCCTATTTTATGACCTGGGGTAAGGATATTGCCTTAGTGACAGTCTCCGGTACTTAAAAAGAACTTGGGGGCCCTGTCCTGTGAGAGACAAAAGACAATAAGGATGGATTTGAAAGAGGCCACGTGGTGGGGAAGACCTCTCTAGAGAAGGAATCAGAATAATGTCGAAAAAGAATAGGAAATCATTTTAATGAGTAATTCTCACAACCTAGACTTCCTATCATTGTGCTACAAAATTAAATATATATAATATATAGAATGGTAAAGATATAACAATATTTGTAGAAACAGGGTAATTGGAATTCAATGAGATCCTTGCATTTCATGAGTCTGCTCTTTTATATTTGGTTCAAGAACTGTTCAAAGAAATCTCAAATCTCTGTTACATGTTTTCATTTGGTTTCATTGTACAGTAACAGCCCTACTGTACTGAAACCCTTTTCAGTAAAGCTGTAATTAGAAATGCTTCATACATAGATAGAGCAGGCAACCTGCACAGCATGAGTAAATTACTCAATTGTTTTGAGGGGAGACGTTTCTTCCATTTAAGTTGTTCTCCATGGAATGGCCTTCGTCTAAATTACTGGGCTTTTCAAGTAACTTCTTACAACCTGCTTTCAGGATTAGTGTGTTCTAAGTATTGCTGATACACATTTGTAGCAAGTTTAGTTGAGGGGGACTTTCAAAATTCACGTGGGACGTGAGACAGTTCTTTGTCGTATGGGATTCTCTGACTCATTGCGGGACATCTAGCTTCCTCCCCATCCCCAAATGCCAATGGCAGTGTCAACAAAAAAGTGCACCCCCTAGTTTCCAAAATTCCCCCTTTGGGCACCACAGCTCTTGTTGAGTGCCCCAAGCTTACATGACCACATCCCAGGTGTGGGGGCTGCCACCTAGGACGGCACTGCACAGCCACTCACTGTGGGTGGACACGGACTCACATGTCCACCCACAGGCTGGCACTTGAGGCACAGTACAGGCATTTCTATTATCTCCACTACTTCTAACACTTCTGTTCCATCTTGATGCACCATACATCACTTAATGAAACCCTCAATGGATGGTATTATCAAGGAAAATAGGTGATATTTGTTGAATTCTCTCTGTGTCAGACCCTGGGTGTTAGGTCTATTATTTCATCCAAACTTTGCAATAACCCTGTGAGGCAGATACGTTATTGGCCCCCATCTTGTAGATGAGAAAGCTGAGGCAGCCAGAGGAGGATCTGGGTAACTTGCCCAAAGTGGTGCAACCAGTGACTGGCAGGATCTGGATTTGAGCTCTGGCTGTCACTCTACTTACAATACTGTTTCCCCAGAACTGGCTTCTTTGTATTCAATTTACATAAAAGAAGTAAATGGCAGCAAAGCACGTTTCATAAAAAACGTTTATTTATACCCCAAGTTTATCCAAACTCAGTGCACATGCAGCACAGCGCCCCACACCCCCGTCCTCCAGCCCCAAGTGTTTGGAGGTGTTGGAGTGGAGGAACGGCCATGCGGAACCGTGCCTTGGAAAGACACTCCATCAAGAAAGAATGGAGCTAAGCTCACCCAGAACGGCAAACAGGTTCCACCCTGTGTCAGCTTTGTCTGGTTGGTCTTGGCTGCCTAGAGGTGAGAAAGATTTTTAAGGCGAGTTGGAAGTCAGTGTCTTCATCAACCAGTCACGTCCGTCCTGTCTATAAAGAGAGCTGTGGCGGCCCCCGCGTTATGAATTTATTGCCCCTTCCTCCGTAGGCAGGAAGTTGGAATTGTACACTTTAGAAAGGGTTTACAAAATAGAAATAAATATGAAAAGGAATTATTGGTGGCAAATTGGTGATTACTAAATTCACCAAAAACTCAGTTTTTCCAAATATCCTCATGTAGTCATAGAAACTTTAAGGTAGGAAGGACCTTCAAGATTATTTAGACTTTAGAGGGTTTTCAAAAATAGGAATAGAAACAAAAAGGAATTTCTGGTGGTGAATTCTAAGTTCATCAGAAAACTAAGTTCCTCAGAATATACCATTTATGGACTCATGGAAACTTCAGGCTAGGAAGGATATTTAACATTATTTAGGTCTTTGGTTCTCACATTTGGCTAGGAGCAGAATCATCTGGGGAACTTTTGAAAAAATTCTGATGTCTGGGTTTTCATTCAAGTAGTTTGAGGATGGGCCCAAGAATTGGTATTTTTAAAAAATTTCTGAGGCCGGGCGCTGTGGCTCACGCCTGTAATCCTAGCTCTTGGGAGGCCGAGGCGGGCGGATTGCTCAAAGGTCAGGAGTTCAAAACCAGCCTGAGCAAGAGCGAGACCCCGTCTCTACTATAAATAGAAAGAAATTAACCAACCAACCAAAAATAGAAAAAATTAGCCAGGCGTGGTGGCACACACCTGTAGTCCCAGCTTCTCAGGAGGCTGAGGCAGGAGGATCACTTGAGCCCAGGAGTTTGAGGTTGCTGTGAGCTATAACTGGGCCACTACATTTCAGCCTACATTTTTTGTCTCTAAAAAATAAATAATAAATAAATTAATTAAATAAAAATAGAAATAAATTAATTGGCCAACTAAAAATAGAAGAAAAAAAAATTAGCCGGGCATAATGGCATGCACCTGTAGTCCCAGCTTCTCAGGAGGCTGAGGCAGGAGGATCACTTGAGCCCAGGAGTTTGAGGTTGCTGTGAGCTATACACTCTAGCCAGGAGGACAAGCAAGACTCTGTCTAAAAAATAAATAATAAATAAATAATTCTACTGATTCTAATACACAGCCCAGATTGAGAACTACAGATCTGGTCAAAACCCCTCATTTTACAGATGAGGAAATGGAGGCTTAGAGAAGATTGATGGTTTCCTTAGGGATGTGCAGTTCCGTCGGCAACAGGGTAGATTCTGTCTTGCCTCCTGGGCTTCTGGTCAGGGCAGGGGAGAAATCCCTGAGTCCTTATGGTTGCAGAGCTGCCGTCCTGGAGCCCAGGCCAGTCTCACAGTCTGTGTCCCGCTGGCTGTGTTCCTGGCAGCTCCCTCTCCAGCTAAGCATGAAGATGCCTCCTGAGACGGCCCGACTGCTGCTGCCTCTGCCCCCTGCTCCTGGCATTTCCAAAGAGATCTGTGTTCCAGAGAGCCTCTGCTGCATATCCGGCTTTTCATGCCTCTTGCCATAGGTTGCAGTTGTATGATCTGCTTGTCCTTGACGTCCCTTCATAGCACTGGAGACCGTGGTAAGAGATCAACAAACCCCTGTCCTCAACTTGGAACTTAAAGTTAAAGTAACTTTAAAAATGTGGACAGCCGGGCATGGTGGCTCACACCTGTAATCCCAGCACTTCGGGAGGCTGAGGAGGGAGGATCCCTTAAGAACAGTTCCCCTTCACAAAAAATTACAAAATTAGCATGAAGGTACCTGTAGTCCAAGCTACTCACTTGAGCCCAGGAGTTCCAGGTTACAGTGATATAGTGAACTATGATCATGCTTCAGCCTGGGTGACAGAGTGAGACCCTATCTCTAAAACAAAGGAAAAAGTAAAAAAAGGAGGAGGAGGAGGACGAGAGGCACACTCACATTGTGCAATGTCTCCTATAAGCCAAGCACCGCACATGTTTATGTGTCCTCTCCAGGGCACCGCAAGGAAATGTCACTAGCCTATCTTACAGAAGGGGAAAGGTGGCTCTGAGAAGTTAGGTGACTTGCCCAAGGTCACACGGCTAGGGAATGGCTGGGTCAGGAGTGTCCAAGCCTGTTCTCATCACCACCTCTGCAGCCTGCTCCAAATGCGGTGTGTGCCAGCCCCTTAAAAGACAAGACTGTCACCCCGCAGATCGCTTCTGAGTGGCAAGAAGAATATGGTAATTATGCAGTGGAGAAAGCTGACCACATGCTGACCAGGTGATCACGATGAGCCGTGGCAGAGGGCCATCACCCACTGGTGCCGTCTGCTGGCCGGGCTGCCTGATCTGAACCTAGTCATGAGGAAACATCAGAGGACCCAACTTGAGGAACAGTCTATAAAATAATTGGCCTCCGTTCTTCAAACATTTCAATGTCATAAAAGACAAAGAAAGGCTAAGGAACCGTTCCAGAGTAACAAAAACAAAAAAGGAACACAACACCTAAATGCTGTGTGTGATGTGATTCTGCGCTGGGTGGGGAAATGCTGTGAGCTTCTTACGGGCCGACTGACAAAATTGGAATATGGAGTGTAGAATAGAAAGCCATATTGTATCCGGGTTACATTTCCTGAATTTGATAACTGGACGGTGATTGTGTAAGCGAATAACCTTGTTCTTAGGAAATACACACTGAGGTATTAGGAGATAAAGGGGCGTGAAGTCTCAAGCTATTCTCAAATGGTGCAGAAAAAAATAAATATTGTCTCAGTATTCCTTACAGCAACCACCAGAGAGCTGCACCCATAGCAGGTAACAAACTAAAAATGTTTGTTGATTATTTGATTAAATAATTCCAAAAGCTCCTGACATCAAGGAAAATACTTTTCTTTTTTTTTGAGACAAAGTCTCACTCTGTTGCCCAGTGAGTGCCGTGGTGTCAGCCTAGCTCACAGCAACCTCAAACTCCTGGGCTCAAGTGATCCTCCTGCCTCAGCCTCCCGAGTAGCTGGGACTACAGGCATGCGCCACCATGCCCACCTAATTTTTTCTATATATATTAGTTGGCCAATTAATTTCTTTCTATTTATAGTAGAGACGGGGTCTCGCTCTTGCTCAGGCTGGTTTTGAACTCCTGACCTTCAGCAATCCTCCTGCCTCAGCCTCACAGAGAGCTGGGATTACAGGTGTGAACCACCGCGTCCAGCCAAGGAAAATACTTTTCATAGTGGCCTTCGCTCCAGGACTACCTGCCAAATAAATAAATAAAAATAAAAAATAGTGGTTTTCTTGGCTTCCGACACTTCTGCTTTATTTCAGAGAAGACACAAATGAATCCTGACTCTTCCCCAACCCCGTCTTCCTCCACCCCCAGCTCCTCCAAGAAAGGGGAGAACCCTAGTATGAATTTGTTTTACCTCATTATTGTTTATAAATTCCTTCCTATTTCCTGGAAATTTATTTGGGATTTTATTAATCTTGTGAATAGGGTAAGATTAATCTTACCATATTCTTTTCACCCTCCGTGCCTATGAAAATCTTAGGGCAGAATCTCCTTCTACCAGATGGAGAGACTGAATGAGGCCTCTCTTGAAAAAGAGAATTGACTTGAACTTGATAAATATCGAGCCCCTGCTATGTGCGGTCTATAGAGCTCTCATCCTAGACATGTGTGGGAATGAACACACTCTCTATCACTGAACTAAATGTTCCAAACTACCTCCAGTGTCCTTCACTGCTAAGTTCCATTAAGAGAAACTTGTATCCCAGCCATTTTTGGCAGGGTATACCTATATTAGTCAGGGTCTTAGCTGCAAGCAACATAACCTACCCTGGATGATTTACACAGAAAATAAATTATTAAAGGATATTTAGGACTCCACAGAATCTCTAGGAGGGTCACAGGGTCCAGCTGGAAGCCACTCAGGCAGGAGCAAGGCCCAACCAGCCTGTGGGCCTCCTGCAGGGCCTCCTGCTACCCCCTGCTGGACACAGTCTCTGCTACTCACACCCCTGACACTGGGCACTGAATACCAGGCACCCTGCCCAGCGCTGCGGAAAGCCCCAGGCCTGTGCCGTCCCCTGGCTGGGAAACAATTCCTCTGCGCACCTGCTTCCCAGCTGGGCGTGTCTAAGGGGCAGATCCTCGCTGCGGGGAGGAGTCACTGACTTGGGTCTCAGGGAGGCAGGACTTGCAATGGAGAAAAGATCCTAATTATGGGAAGAGACAAAAAAGAAGAGAGAGCCCCAAAACACAACACACACCCACAAAAACACAACAAAAATGGGAAAACGCGACACAAAAAAAAATCACAGTTTCTAGATTTTCTTTACATTCATCACTCTACTGTATGTGTTTTGTTAGTCCCAGTTTTAGTCCTTTCTCACCTTCTATCTGCTATTGTTTGGCATTCTAAAGCTTATTCTGAATATGAAAAAAGTCTATAAAATCCTTGACTCTTAGTTCTAAAGTAGAACTTTGAGGAAGGGAGTGTAAATGATAATGATACCAAGCACCTGGAAACCTGTTGTCTACAGATGAGGAAACAAGGCCCAGAAATGCAAACTTTGGCCATAGCTGTGCCAGGACTAGGATTTCCCAGAATGTGCTTTGCATAGTATTAATAGGCGGTCAGGGTCAGGGGAGAGAAGGAGGGAGCAAGGGAAACTGAGGGAGGAAGAGAGGGGGGAGAGGGAAAAGGAGAGGGAGGGAAGGAGAGAGAAAGAGAGAGAGACAGAGACAGAGATAGAAAGAGATCCCCTGCTTTAGATAAAGTCAGCTCAGTTTCTTTCCTGCAGGACTTCTCCATAACTTTAATATGCTGCAAGGGAGTTTATGCAACGTTCCCCTAATGCTCTGGACCACAGAGCACACCTGAGATGCCTGGCATCTTGCTGGGACTCACAGACCACACTCTTGGGGACACACCATCTTACCCCATGCTGCCGCTTACTCTTGTCAAAATGCTGCAGAACACTTAACTTCTTTGAATTTGAAACTCCTTGACTTTCATACAAATACAATTGATTTTAAATGTCACTGGTTTCAGACCAATTTTGAGGGTCCTTTAAAAAGGGAAGCAGGGAACCGTACTCCGGTCCCTTTCAAGTTCTCTAACTTGGGAAGTTGACCACTTGACTTAAGGTTCACCATTTGACTTAGGAAATGCAACTTGAGATCTTCCAACAATAGAACTCCTGCCCTTACAGGCAAGCTTTATGGTCAAATGACTGTAGCTAACATGATAAAACAATGTTATTAGAGGAGGAAAAAAGGATTTGTTTCCTACGCAATTTAATACATATGAAATTCAAATGTGTTTATTTTGTACAAACTGAACCATTGCCATGAACTGGTTTTTATTTTGTTTTATTTTTTGTTCATTGCCATGTTCAACCTGACAGATCATCTTCAAACTAATTTAACACACATATATGAACAAAACCTGCAAAAAATTTGGCTCCCATGAGAGCTGTCCCCTAAACCCCTCACCAGAACAGCTGCACAAGGCTAACACTTCCAACCACGAAATACCATTTGGTTTAGTAATCCTTGGCGCGCTTGATATTGAGATAATTTAGCAGCCTATTAAAATGCCCCACCACTCCTACTTTCTAAAGGTGTTTGTTTGGTTCCATCTAAACAGACATTAAGATGTTGAAAACCCCCATCTTTGAGGTGTGTTGAGCCCTGATAAATCCCTTCTTTTTTATTGTAAAAGTACTTAATTGTGAAGATCACCACACACCAACCAGTTCAGTTTTTCTCTAAAATAGTGCCTCACTCAACAGATCATTTCATATTTTCTATCAGTATATTCACTTCTTTTAAACCACATATTTTTAAAAGTGATGAATTATTTTCAACAAGATCATAAAACCTATTTAATCCTGTCATGGAAAACTAAAGGCAAATTGGCAATGTGAATGGTCTTACAGTAAAACTTGAAAAAAATATTTTTAAACAATTTATGCATAGGCCTTGATGTGTCTAAACATCCAGAAACGTAAGAGAAATCTCTTTCCAGGACCTCCTTAAAACCCAGCCAGTCACTCCTCCCTTTGGTTGCTTTTTTCTGGGTGTTCCCATTTCATGTGAAAACATTTGCTCCAGGTCCTAACCCTCAACTGTCCCATGAGTATGTGAATTACAGATTCTTGCACATCTGAAGTGCTTTCTTGCGGCTTTTTTTGGTTTTGCTTTGTTTTGTTTATCCTACACAACTTCCTTCCTTCCTTCCTACCCTTTGCTCCCCGGGGCTTTTAGAGATAGGCTTAGCCACTAATCATGTCGTCCTGCAGCAGTGACAGGAGACCAGATCCAGGCTCCTCCCTCTGCGCCTGGCCAGAGGAGGATGGAAGCCGGAATGGCCATCTCTAACAACACGGCTATTCACAGCCTGGAGACCTGGGGAACATCCATGAATGCAGATAGCCAAATTAGCTGCTGCTTAAGTAACACACAGCTGCTCTGCTCTTATGGGAGCGTTGCTGCCTCCCGGAAGGCAACATCCCTTGCACGTTTTAGCCTCTGCAGACCGCCCTCCATTAGGTCGCCCCCACCCAAGACGGCCACTCTCAGTGTCCCGCCAACACAGGGCAAGTTCTTAGGAGCCACTCAAATGCTTCCCTCCCACTGTGTCCTTCTCAAGGGCCATTTGGATTCCAGGGGCCACCACTAACCATAATAACGGTCATTCTTTCCATGTCTTGCCT